ATGCCGAAGTTGAGAATAAGCTCTCTATGTTGAGAATAGGCCGCTGCCCGCCTCCTAGGTAGTCACAGTTGGATTCTACTAGTCTGTAGCTTCCTCCTGGTACTCCATACTCCATGCAGAAGACCTTGAGAGATCATGTTCCTGAAAGGATCATGATCGTTCCCTTTTTGGTTCGATCGCGATTTGATTTGAACCATTGTTCCGAATAATCCCGAGTCGGTCTTATCCGAACCGTGGATGCCGAGCCATCACGTGATTAAACGCGTCTTTGATTTAGGTACAAAGAACAGTCAACAGAGTTGCCTGATTCTGTAGTACACTGCCTCGATGTCCAATGAAAGCCCCTGAGCCAACACTTTGGTTATTTTCAACTTTGGAGGAGTCAACTAAGTGCAACCTGAATCTTGAAAATAGGACCCAGTTTGAATTGCAACCCGTACAACAGCCCTGAACCAGTATGATCCGTTCTGGCTGAGTGACTGCGGGTGAGCGTATTAAGGCTCCCTTGTAGTCTGACTCAAAGCTCATGTGTGTGCTTTAGATGCGCGTTCACATATTGATAAAACGCGAAAAACCAGGGAAACAGGGTATAACCCGAAACCCGGCTTATCATCTCCCCCAGTCTTTAATACTGACCGTCCCCGGTCACCAGTCAACTTTATAGTTCCATCATTAGCCATCTCAACGTGCACCTCAATATCCTTTTATTTCCCATGTAGACGCGTCGACGCGTTGACTTAGAACAGAAGTTGAAAATACGCGATTCCCAAATCCTATTTTCAACCAACACCGCCTGGACCGGTCCGAGGCCTATTTTCAACATTCTGGACCATGGTGACATGGCCCACTCTATTTTCAAGTTCCCCGCCCGCACAGCCCATTGTTACGTTCATTGTTACGGCATCCCATCAAACCATTGATTGAGGATCCTGATTCAGCTACCCCGCGGACGCAAATCTTTAAGACACCGTCCCCCTATTAAGGCAAGACTCTCCTCTTCATTTGCTCCTTGGTGATACCCATTTTCAAGGTTCTTCCCCTTCACACTACATCGCTCAATCGAGACCAAAGTTGACAATAGGTATTTTTGGTTCCAAATAAGCTCTGTGTTTGAATTGAACGCCCTGAAACTGTTATACAGTCTCCTTCTCCATTGTTATTGCGCAGCCCAGAACCCAGGGTCGCCGGTGCCGTCCTTCAACCATATATAAGGCGAGTCATGGCCGCAGCTCCCACTCTTTCGCTCTTTTCCGCACCCCCATCTGCTATTTTCAACTTCGCACCCACTTCGCCTCTCAACGAAATGCCGCCTAAGCCCGCTTCCAAGCCCAAGCCTGTGTCTTCCGCCTCCGCAAAGCCGCGTTCGACACGCTCCCAGGGCAAGCCCAAGTCCGTCGCCACGCCGCCTTCGAAACCGCGATCCAAGGCCACGCCCAAGAAGGTCGTTTTGAAGTCTCCCGAGCCGGAGTCCGAGCCCGCGGGAGATGATGAGGCTGAGTCGGAGGAGGGCGTGGACGAGGTTCCTGCAAAGGAGCCAGCCCGCGCCTCTTCGACTGCCACTGATCCCCCGGTTCGTTCTCCTTCGCCTCCCGAGATCTCAGACGATCTCCTCTGCTACTTCAACGCGCCCTCTGTGAAGCCCCTTGGTCCGTACTTGAAAAGGGCCGAGGCCATTGACGAGGACGAGATCTTGGAGGTTGAACTCGCTATTCGCAACGCGCTCCCCGTTCTGGTGCGTTTCATTGATTATTTTCTATTCAAAGTCTTATTTTCAACTTTGAACAGCGCCTACTTCATCGCGAATCGCAGAAAGAACGCCAGCCCGAGGAATTTCGGCGCTTCTACCACCAATACACGCAACTCCTTCGTTCGCTGGGCAAGGTCCCTGCCGCCTGGGCCGCAGTGACTCTTCCCGTCGAGAATATTGACGATGAACCCGTTCGTATTTTCAACTTTTATTTTCTAATTTTCAACTTTGAACCCTTTTCAGGAGTACCCCGAAAAGGGATTCAAACTCCCCACCGCGTTGCCTCCGATGCTTCGTCGTGCCCGCGAGCCACCCGTCGACGAGTCCAACCTCGTTGATGCCAACGAGCTCTTCCCCAAGCCCCGCCCTTCTGCGTTCGGCAAGAAGGGCAAGTCGATCAAGGTTGACCAGCAGCCCGAGGCCGCCGGTCCCAGCTCTTCGACGCCCAGCAAGCGCAACCTTCGCTCCTCCAAGAAGGCGGGTGAAGAACAAACTGGTAAGTATTTCTTCCCTCATTTCCTCCTTATTTTAATTTGTCTTTGCACTCTTACTAACTTGTCTTATTTTCAAGATCAAGCCGAGTGCGTAATAATACATACTTCGACCGCCTCCACCAGCAAGCTGACTTATTTTCAACTTCAGGCAGGGAGGTTCGAAGCGCAAGCGGGGTTCTGGCAAGGGGAAGAAGAAGGTAAGCCTTCTTTTCCATCTCTTGTTTTAGAATCCCTTCTAACTCTTATTCAGGCGTCGCCTGAGCCGTCGTCTGACGTCGAGATGTCTGATGTTGAGGATCGGGGAGCGCCGAGCTCAGACGTAAGTCTATTCAGCTCGTCTCTTTCCTATTCAACTCATCCAATCCGCTCTTCAGGACGATGACGAAGGGGTGCAACCCCCCAAGAAGACCCGCAAGAACGCAAAGGGGAAGAAAGTTCGAGTTGGGGTAAGTTCCCTTTATTTTCAACTTTCGACTTTTTCACTAATTCGTTTCACGTTTCTTCCTTAGCGTACCAAGGTCAAGGATATGGACACCCGCGCGTTTGGGAAGGAGGTGGGAGAGTTGGCGGAGAAGCTGGCGGCTCGTAAGCTCAAGAATCGCAAGGCCAAGGACAAGTGTAGATAGAATCATGTCCTATTTTCAACTTTGTACTAACCACTTTTCTTTTTAGCCCTCCAGCTCACCATCGACACCGGCGCCGAGGCGCCCTTCGTCACCATCGTCCGCCAGCCCAACACTGGGTCAAGGATCATCTACTCGGCGCTCGCGCCCAAGAACATCCTCCGCGGCATGCCCGAGGAACACGACGACCGGGAGATCCCTCCCATCTCGATGGAGGAGGTGCAGGAGTTGGACGTCGAGGCAGCCGTCGCCGTGCGTTCCTTATTCCCTACTTCTGATCCTCTCCCTGATTTTTGCCTTAGCCCAAGTTCCGTTGCGCCAACTGTTGCCTTGCCGGCGAGGAATGTCGTGTGGTTGGCTTTGGGGCTGTCTGCTCCTTCTGCCAGTCCCACGGCTTTACTCGCTGCTCGGACCATATGTCGGCGGAGGAGATCCTCCTCGCGCATCGTCGCCTGAGTTCTTTGTACGCTATCTCTTCCGATCGTAAGTTGAACTTAGTCGCTATTTTCAATTTTGCTGACTATTTTCAACTTTTTCAAGTTTACGAGGTTTCGTTTCGTGAGGCCCTCGCCGCCCAGCGTCGCGCCATCGAGCTCCAAGAGCTAGCCCGCAAGGCGTCGCTCGAGGCGCTTGACCGCTACGCGCATCTCTTCACCTTGAGCCACTCGATGATCGACGCGCTCGGGCCCGACATCTTCCTTGAGCGCTTTGCGTCCAAGGAGGAGCCCGACTTGATCGTCGACCACTTCAAGTCCCAAGTCGCCGCCTACAACCTCCTGCGCTACGGGTCCGACACCGAGATGGTGATCGTCCCCGACGAGCACGAGCCTGCTGTCGAGTGGCAGCGCTTCACGAACGGCAAGTTCTTCAAAGGCGCCCACAATGTCCCAATCTTCTCCAACCTCCGTGAGGAGTTTGTTGTGGACCGCGAGACGACCTCATCGCCCGAGCCGCAGAAGCAGGGATCGTCGAAGAAGGGCAAGGGCAAGGCCAAGGCGACTTCTTGATTATTCTCTACTTTGCGCACTCGCTTTTCGCCATTTTCTTGTTATTTTCTACTTTGTACTAATCACTATCGCATCTTTGATACGGACCTCAGATAGTTTTTAGTTACATTGTAGTCTCCATACGTACACCTCGCTTGTATATCTTGGAAATGCGAGAATCTTTCTTGGTCTGAACTCGTGGGAATTAAGACTTAGAGGATTTTCGTCCAAGACCAAAGTTGAAGATAACGCTTAGGTTGAGATTAGATATCATTTCCGCTAATCTAGTCGTAAGTTGACTTTTGATTATCGTTAATGACACTCTTCTTATGATGGTGGCGATACACCGCCATCATTACCCTTATAAACATGTCAGCATTTGAGACGCCCCTCAGTCAAGTCTTCTTTTCAACTATGACCATCTACTGGCATCTCAATTTTGGATCTGTGGAGGCAGAACATGCGTCATTCATGCTTGAGGATTTCAAGGTGCGTCTCAGTAATCCCTCATATTCTTCTTTGACTTATGAGTATTCCTGTAGCCGACTTATCGTTGCCAGATTTGTGAGACCAACAACCGTGAATGCTCTTTCAACGGTTGGGGCCGCGGGTGCGATGCCTGTGAGGAACGCTATGAGGGCCATTGTCTCTTTCGATTCAACTACGGCTGGCAGGACTTCATGACCAGGGCGGAGTTCGCGGATAATAGTACGCCCCGTTATTTTCAACTTTCCTCTCTATTTTCAACTTTCGTTTTACTCAGAGATGAGGTGGGGTCTGGACCTATTCCCGGTCGCCGACATGATTCAACACGTTCCTACTCTCCTCAAGTGTAACCAACTGCGTCACGCTCGTACAATCGACCTTCTCTCCACTCGCGTCCGATTTGTTAACTCTTTTGTGGAACTTTTATTGTTGGGCAGGCAGTGGGAGGCTGCTGGTTACTCTAGAGAGGCTTTGGATATTCTCGCAGATCAGCGTGGCTTCCTGCGTTTTCACGCTGGTTCCGCGCTTACTGGTCCTTAGTGTATCCTTGGTCATGATTATATTATTAGACTTCGTTTCAATGACCAACTCAATCCCTATACGCGTTTCCGCATATTGAAAATAAGCCGCTCTGAGACTCCTGTCTTAATTCTATTCATGCCCAACCCATCTAGCTCAACCGGACAGAGCGTCAGATATCGGATCTGGAGGTTACGAGTTCGATTCTCGTGGTGGGAGGTCCGTTTTGCTTCGAACTCGCTAGTGAACTTCATAGTTTTCCCTTGCGTCCTTATTTTCAAGATTGGGCCAGGTTCAGGGGTGGCCCCTGTCCTTATCCTTATCCGAATTCGGAACAGCTCGGTTATTCTCAACATTCACATGCAAGTCTTGGCTCTATTGAACTTCGGCTGATTGCCTATTTTCAACTTGACGTATATCCCATTTCTACTCCTTTGTCGCGACTGCGGCTGAGAGGGGCTGGTTTCTAACAGAGTGGGGTGACTGATAGATGCGATAAATCGCAAAATCCACTGTATCCTCCCCCAATTTTAAATACCAACTGTCCTCAGTTGCCTGCCGACACGATCCGACCTTATTTTCAAGAATGTTTAAAGCGCTCGAGACTTTCATCCCTTACGTTAAACTATTCCAACGCTTTTCCCTTCTTTTGCCCAATATGCCCCCTGTTCCACTCGGACCTCAGCATCTCTCGCAGAATGCTCTTCATCCACCCCCCTTTGTTCCGCCTGAGGTACTCAAGGACGTTTATCCCGACCTCTGCGACCATTTCGAAACCGTACTTCACACCAGCTATCCAAAGCTTAACCGCCAGCTGAAGATGTACGAGGAGAGCGCTGAATTCATGGTGCGCCGCAGTTTATTTTGTCCGGGCTTCCACTTATTTTCAACTTTCATCCAGGTCTCTCTTCACGGTTACGCCGAGCTCATCGCCGTTACTTCTGAGATCTACATGGGCTACCAGAACGTAGTCTCCAAGATCCGCCAGACGCACCCCGATGCCAATGATCATACCGCGAACGTCACCAAATTGTTGGCAATGTGCTCGGAGATGCAAGGTCACCGTAAGCGTGCTCGCCTTGCAGCTGAGAAGGCTTCGCTCGTGGCCATGGAGAAGAACCGCGAGGAGAAAGATCTTGCCAAGGAGGCTGCGAGGGAAGAGAAGCGCGTGAGTCGCCAATATTTCTATCAGTGCCCCGCTTATTTTCAACTTTTAGCCCCGCAAGAAACCCAAGAAGAACTCTCCCCCCGAAGTCCCTACTTCCGACGAAGAAGACGATTCTGTCCCTGATGAAGACGTCCCAATGGAGGATGTCGATTCACAGGTGCGCTCCCCCAGTCTTTTAATATTCGCCATTTCTGACGCCTATTTTCAACTTTTGGAAGGAGCGCCGCTCGTCCCCCGAAGTCCAGATTGTTGACGACCCCATTGTTTTCGACAAGGGCGCTCAGGTTGTTGTGTCTGGTGGGAAGCTCGTTCCTCGTGCTGGGCACGAAAAGGCAATCCACACCATCGTCCATAAAGTTGTTGAGGATAACAAGGTCGTTGACGACAAGAAACTGGTCCGTTCCTTATTTTCAACTTTTTCCCCAGACACGTCTAATCCCAATTTCAAGAGCAAGGCTGCTAAGAAAGAGAAGAAACGCGCCGAGGTCATCCTTTTCCCTTATATCCACCTCAACCGTATTGATCGCACTTCGGCTGCGTATGTTCAGGCTATGAACATTGTTGCACAGACCGCACCTGAGGAAGCTGCCAAGGTAGCGTCCATCACTACTCCTCCTTCGTTGAAACGTGGTCGTGCCAACGACTATATTGACTGGGAGTGCGGTCGTTTCTATTATGCCCAGAGTGCGTTTCCTTATTTTCAACATAAGTTTTTAACCGCTGACCCTGCTTCATAAGCTAAACGCCCCACGCCTGGATCCAACCAAGTCCCTGACCGTGCCGCACGCGCCATCCAAGGTGCTGTGGGCGTTGATATTCCCAACAAAGGTCTCCTCCGTGCCGAATACGAGACTCGCAGCAACATTGTCGCCGTCATTGCCCGACTTTCCGCTGATCTTGGAATTCACGAGACGCTCGTTGCCAAGCATAACGAGATGGCCACCCTTATTAGGGCGCGCGGTTTGACTGCGCTCACCGACCTTCCTGAGGAAAAGTAGGTAAGGCGTTCCCTAATTTCAACTTCTGTCGCCGTATTGAACATGTTTTCTCAGAGGTTCAATCGGAGGCCAAGACAACGACTGTCCCTACGCTCATACCCACACATCCACACACTCTCTTGTTCCATGCCCTGTCAAATCGGGTCCCTGATCCGTCGACTCCACATTCCCTCGATATCCCAACTTTCAGAAACTAGTCCCACACAGCGCGGCTGTTAATACCGCATACTGTCGTTACTGCCTCATCTGTCTATACCGACCTCGGGCTTTTAAGCTCGATTGACCACGCTCCTTGAATATATTTGCCGTTGCCTATAACCGTTCCCTTTGATTCCAATGTTGAAAATAGTCTGGATATCTTATTTTCAACTTTGGCTCCGGTGCTCTCCTGCTCACTTTCGCTTGCGTTTAGACCGTCTGGGATTTGTAGTGTCATATGCTGGCTCGGGCTCCAAAGAAACCTCTTCAGGTTCTTCTTCGCTCTCATATTCATCTGACAGTTCTTCGGCATTCAACTCTTTCCAGTTTGGAACCAACTTTACTTTGCGAAACTGCATATCCTTGCCATCATACTCATCTGGAGGTTCTTGATCTTCGACCAAGGCATCCAGCTTTTCTGCCGACATGTCTATCAGTGTCTCTATTTTATCCGAGAGCCTGATATGTTTCCTCGCTTCAAAAGGAATAACTCTAAATTGCGCAATTTTACTATGGTACATTGCACCATTCATTTCGCAGCACAGGTAAGATCCTCCTTTTGTCCTTCGAACAACCACCATGGGTCCCAGATACCTAGGCTCCATTTTGGTGTTAAGAGATTTCTCAACCGAGGTGTTGCGAATCAACACTAACTCCCCAGGTTGAAAATTGAAATTCTCTATAGTGTCCTTATGGACGCGTTCATATCTTCGGACCGCGGCCAGCTTCTCAGCCGACACTCTCTCCCGCATTTCTTCAACATGTTGAGAGTGCTTTGCCAGAGCCCTGGCTCTTAAGCCAACCAGTTCCGCCGTGGAGATTATCGTATCAGGATACTCTACTAACCACGTCGATTCCTCAATGTCCAGTGGGATTGTTGGATGCGCACCCGTCACTGCAAAGTAAGGAGTACAGCCCAATCCTCTCCTGGCAGTAATTCGGTCTGCCCAGATTACCTGAGGTAGGAACCAATACCATTTTCTAGTATCGCCCCCAGTTGCCTTATATAAAGACTGCCTCATATCCCAATGCCCACGTTCCACTGGACCGTTTGCTTGTGAATTATAAGGTGAAATCCTTATACCCGTGATGCCGTACTTGGCATTCAACCACTTGACTGCAGCCAGAAATTGTCCCGCATTGTCTGTAACGATCCATTTCGGACAGCCCCACCGACAGATAATCTCTTCGAGGAGAAATCTACCTAAGGCCTCCCCGTTATCAGCCCTAAGCGCCCTTGCCTCGAGCCACCTGGTTAAGGAGTCTCTGGCAGCGACTACTAGTCTGTGTTGGTTCGAAACAGTCCCCATAATCATCACATCGATATGTATCTTTTGAAAGATACTTGGTGTCAAAGTAGCGATTGGCGGTATTTTCAACAATTTCTTTTGCCTTGCTTGACACAACCTGCAGGTCTTCACATACCAGGCAATGTCCTTTTCCATTTCTGGCCACCAAAACCTGTTCTCTATGAGAGATTTGGTGGAATAGACGCCCTTGTGTCCCAGACTGTCGTGAGAGGCCTTCATCATATATGTAAGGCGGGCGCCTTACTTACATACCCACATCCCTACATCTCCACTGTCCACCTACCTACTGATGACTTAGCTAGTTTTGATGTATTATAAATAGTTCGGGCGATCGTAGTGGAGGGCAACTAATCTTTGCCCACCACTACGTCGTCCTTCTTCAATAGAACCTGGATGTGTTTAGTACGGGCATCGATCTAAGCTTCAACTTATCTCTCCCCCTCTTACACTTTTTTAAACAACCTCGGCTCCTTCTAGGAGCACATCTATCGATCAAAAGAACTGCATAGTTCATCAAACGTGATTTCATCAACACATCTTTTCTCTCTCCACTCCCATGTCGACGCCCCCCAACGATAACTTGGCTCGCCCCAGCGACTCCGCTGGATGGCGAGCTCCTCCACCTCACTTATCGGCCAGCGTCGGAAGTGGACCATACCTGTCGATGGCCTCAAGTCATACGCCATCGATCCAACCCCGTCCGGACTCGGAGACCAGTGGGGAACGCACCACTTCCCCCACCAGGCCAACGGGTCTTGCAGCGACTTTGGAAGTCGATGCCCAAGGACAACAGTACCTTCGTGAAACCGCCTCTGGGTTTCGCATTGACCTATTCGATGCGGGCGGTGCCCCCCTCGTTACGCATACTTTTGCTGCCTCGCCGCAGCCTCAAGCCAACACCGATGGGCCTGGCCCATCCACAAACGTGTCCTCAGAGTCGGACGTGACTCCCGAAACCCGAAGCGAGGGCGCGACTGTCGTATCCGCTCCCAGCGATGGTAATCAGGCCGCCATGACGCCTGATTCAATGATTGCTTCACTCCTCGAGACGTTGGACATAGAACGACTGGATGCTACTCAGCGCGCGATGTTGCAAAGTATTCAAGGCGCCTTACTCACATCGCGCCAGCGATTGCTCAATACCACCGCTGTAGTTCTTGACCAACGGAAGAGCTCCTTTGAGATCCATGCTTCGCTTTCTGAGTTCCGCGACGAGACGGCGACCAGATTCACCGCATTCAACGAGGTCATACGATCTGACCACTCGAATCTAGAACGGTGCATTCAAGACAATATTCAAGTACTCACTGAGCTCGGCGAATCTGAGGCGGCCATGGGCCGCATCCTCCAGTCGATGATCTCCTCCCGCGGTCGAGTCAGCCCTACCCTCTCCCAACTTCCTGAGATCGCACTCCAAGAGACACGCGAACTCGCCAGCGGACTTGCCAGGGAGGTCAACGCTACGCTGCCCCCTCGCCGTGACAATGAGACCAACGAACAGTTTCAACGTCGCTCAGCCCAGTCCGCGAATAGTGCGCGCCGCGC